TCAACCCTAAATTAAGGTTTTGTGTTGCATCAAGATCCTTGAGTCCAAATGACCTCAAGTGCTCCCTAATTTACTAATATGTTATCAAGATCATCCATGTCAAATTTCAAGCCTTGCAGAGGAAGTTTGCTCAGTCAATTGCTCAAGAGTCCAAAAATCGACTATGCTAGGGCAAAAGTCAACTGTGACCTAAATACAGTCAAAATTCAATATTTTTTGTCAACATTCTCATTTTGAAGTATATTTCATAATTTGATCAAGGGTTGACCATGATTCATCAAGGATTGCTCAAAATTCATCAAGATTCAAAAGTTGCTAAATTAGGATTTTATAGGAAAGGTCAACTCAACTTTGACCAAGCATAACTTTCTCATAATTTATGAGAAATGACCCATACAAATCTCATTTTTAAGAGGATTCAATTCGCTACAATCCATATTCATACCCCAAGATCAATAAATTCATTCACAAGAAGTTATGAATTTGGACATTATAGGTCATTTTTGAAAGTCAACAAAAACAATTTTTTTGCCAAAGCTTATAACTTGAGCAAGGGATATCAAATTGAGATGAGACCAAAAGGGTTGGTTAGAGGACATCTCAAGATTTCTAAAAAGTCCAAGAACACTTCCAAAAGTTCAAAATTGAAGAAGTTATGCATTGTTGAAGTTGGACTTTTTTGCAAAATTGCCAAAAGTCAACTATCCCCAAAACTTCAAATTTTGTCAAATGGGCCCATTCTTTTTCACTTGATTTGAGTTTGAATCATTGCCTACGTGCCCTAGCTCCAGCCATGTGTCCATATCTCATTTTTATTATTTAATTTGATTTTTATTTGAATTTATTCAGTTTTAATCAAATAAAATAATATAAAATCCAAGGAATTAATAACTCATGATTTTCTGATTGTTTTAGGCTTTGTTCACAGCTATCATCACCATCAAATTCGTATCAAATCAAATCATGTGCAAAAAGATTGAAATGAATCAAATTTGGAAAGATTTAATGGAAGAATCAAATCCACATCAAAGTCATTGATAGAGGGAGATTTGTACCAAGTTTGTAAACCTAATGCACTGAGTGATACATAAGGAAGCTAAACACACGAAAATAAGGGTTGAAAATCATGGGAAGAGGCAGAACAAGAATTGAAAAAATCACCAAAAAGCTTGAGGTCGAAATCCAGGTTAGAGGCATTTTCAGAGGTTGAGACTTGTTCCAATCGACTCCTGGACATTCACACAAGCTAGCTCGATCAAAACCACGCATCCTCAGGCCTCCAAACGCACTGTAAGTCCCAAGTAAACTGCTCTTGTTCTTGATTTCGTAACTCTGGAATTAGGCATCTTTTCCATGAACTAATTGCATATTTGTAACCCTCACATCATTTGTAAGCTAATGGTAATAGCCAATTTCATTTATGCGCTCTGTATCATGAAACGCCATGGCTAGGGTTTCGTTTCTGTTTTTAGGGTTTTTTATTTCAGGAATAATTGAAGCACATGAAGGACATGGTTGTGATCAGGAGTTTGTCACGAATCCAACCATGATCCTAGAATTCATTTTTGTGGTCTGAGAAGGATTTTTGAGACGAGCAAGCTTGTAGCTACGGACTCATGTCCATTGGTATAGGTAGTGATACTTTTGGCCACGGTTGGGAGGTCAGGGATGATGCGTGGCATCCATCCATTGGCCGGTTCAAACATAGCGCGCATTTTATTTTATTTTTTGACCAATAATTCTTGTTTTATTATATTATTATTGATTTATGTTAATATAACAAATGAAGCAGCGTGGTGTAGTGACAAGCGTGTAATGCATTCTCCTTCAGGACCTGGGTTCGAATCCCAGGTCCCCCACTTTCTCAATAACTTTTGTTTTCAGGTGATTGTATGCACGCTTAAGTTTGCAATCTACCATGCGCCTTCATCCATCCAAATGCCAGATGGCCAAGAGCCAGATCTGGTGGTCAAAAATTTGGAGGTCCACCATGAGCCAAGTCAACATGCGTATATTGGATCACAAAAAGTTAAAAGGGCCAACAATATTGGGCCTACAGAATTGCTCCTCACACCCCTGAAACAGGCCCAACACTCCTCTCTCTTTATTTATTTTGTCTTGATTACACATTTTATAACATGATGTGAGTCCTGATGAGAGTAAGTGAGATTTAGAAGAAGAATGTGAAGAGTTGAAGAGATATTACATTACTTTGGATATTGTGGGTCAGAGGGTGTTGAAGAAAAAAGTTTGTGATCTAACATATCCATCCACAACTTCAATGTGTCCACCGCTGGTGAAATACAAGCCAAAGAGGGGAGTTAAGAAGAGTAAAAAGAGTGAGAAGGGTGATGTGCATCGTGATCCTAGCTAGTGGAAATATGATGCAGCTTCGCAGGGGAGTCAGACTACAAGGGATCATGCACAAAACCAATTGGAAGTCAATCGTGAACCATGTCGATTGGTAAGCAAGCTTCTACCAAATCTTCAAGAGATGAGTACTTGTCACTGTTTCCTGATTTCTTTCATCCATACATTGATGACATAATTGATATTGAGAATGATGGAAATTATGGTTTCCGTTGCATTTCATCTTTATTAGGATGGAGGCAAGATGCTTGTTATTCGGTTCGGAAGCAGTTGGATACTCAAGTCCATCAACACGCTGACTTGTTTTCCAAGTTGTTCTATGACACTATCTCTGATGTTAAGACTTCGTTACAAGTAAAACACTTGAGTGTGCAGGGTAGAGAGAAATGGATGTTGATTCTTGATATGAATTACCCTATTACTTTTAGATATAGTGTCGTATTTGTTTCTATTTCTGTGAGACTTAACATAATATTCTCCCACTTCTCATAGCTCCACCCCCGTACACGAGTCGACATACAATCATTGTTGTTGGTTTTGTCAACGAAATCATTGGATTCAGATGAAGTTGAAACCTGATTGTCCACTGCCTCATGTCACTAAGAAATGGAGGGAGAATTGTTCTAATGATACAAAAGCATGAGAATCAGCATATGCGGGTCGCTTCAGACATTGGAAAGAATTGTCTAGGCCGTGATTGTAGTTTTTTTTAATGTAACTATGTATGACAATTATTCTATTTATATATTAAGTCGGATCACTATTTTATGGTGTATTTTATTCAAGTAATAGTTTAAAAAAAATAAAAAAAATAAAGTCCCAGTATTATCGAAAATTTGAAATTTCTAGTACTTTTCACACTGGAAATTTCAAATTCTTGGTTTATTTTTATAATGATGAAAAACACCGAAAATTTGAAATTTCCGATATTTTTCACATCGGAATTTCAGATTTTCGGTTTGTTTTTATAATGATGAAAAATACCGAAAATTTGAAATATCCGGTACGGGAAATTTCAAATTTCCGAGTACGATCATTATGGCACGGTAAAAATTTAAAAATTTAACGAAATTTCTGGTAGTTGCATGAAATTTCCGGTATGGAACCGAAAATTTCAGAAATTTCAGTTTATTTCAGAAACAGTTTCGTAAATGTGTCATTTTTGGGGATGACATATATAAAATAGAGGATGGCATGTTAAATTTTCAATATTTCTCTACTTGATAAGCTGGTAGGGGCTATGTTCCACGAAGCCCACAAGCTTTGTAATATGTATGTTTAATGTTCTCTGAGTCCTCTCTGACAATTTCGCTAAAGACTCTCCAATCTAAAATTCCATAATTAAGATTGATAATGTATTCAAAGAAGATTTTATGTGTATATTTGGTTCTAGATCATCTTTCTAGTTTAGCCATTGGATATTATTTGATCCCCTATAGTTTCAATTGTCCCTTATGTTCATATTCATAATTTGGTTCTAATGTGAAAGACATTTGCTCTAACAGACCACCTCAACTTAATTTGAAGTCCACTCAACTACCACTAGAGGTTACTTCAAAAATCGTCAACAAAAATCTCAACTTTAATAACAACATTGGCGTTTTTATTTGGTTGAACCATGTTAATGTAAACTATAGAGCAAAAAGTGGTTACATGTGACTTTTTAGAGACAATGATAGAGCCTTTAATCATCACATAGCATGGGCACACAAATGATAGAGCCTTGTTACATGGAAGACTATTTATTCATTTGTTTCATAAACCCTTAGCATGGGCACACAAATGATAGACCCGTTCAAATGAACAACCTTAACCTTCCATGCACTATCATTAACGTATGGAAGTTTCCATCGAACCCCAAAGAGAGCATGTTATGGCGGAATTATTTGGAACTTCTATGGTGCTTGGCATGTAGGAGTTTAAGGATTCATCCTATGAACAAACATATTCTTCAAGCAGAGCTCTATGTCATTTATATTGGCATCTCGAGGCTACAGACATGGGTTTCAAGGACTTTGTTTGCTACACATATTTCGTTGAGACTTTCAACATTAAGTATGGTTCCTGTTATTTGCTACACATATTCTTTAAACATTGGACATTTCTAATTTTAGACGTCTCTTCAATCTCTGTTTATAAATGTTGATCTAAGATATGGTTACTGTTATTTGCACGACTATTGTTTATTTTTCTATTTTTCACTCATGAGTGCCGTTTCCTGGGGCCGATCACACACATGTAATTAAAAAATAACATAAGGCAAGGCAAAAGTACTATAAAAGTTTGTGTACTTTAAAGAGTATTTGCATCAAGATAGCTAGCATGGCAAAAAGCCATATATGCATTCAAATCCTTAAGGCTTAAGCTAACGAAGATACAAATATAAAATAAAATTTTAATGGAGAAATATACCAATGTATATATTTCTCTCGTAACAAACAAGCATACAAACAAGATGTTGGCTAAATAATGTTGATACAATAAACATTAAAAAAATGGTGACAATGAAATGTAATTGAATTTTAGAAGCTGAGGCAAGACTCCACAATCCCACATTTGTTAACATGTGATAAATTAGAAAATTCTGCACAGTTCAATCCTCACTAAAAATAATATAACTAAAATCTGTATCACATTACAGACTTGCGTAATTCATCTGTTCCATGTGCAAAATGACACTTTTCCCCGAAAGTGCAGGATCCTTTGGTGAAGTTTTCACAGAGCTTGGTCTTGAAGTTGTTTGCAGGAGCAGAAGTATTTGAAGTGGTGTTTTTTCTCGAAGGCCCAGAGACCGAACTAACATTTAGAATAAGGTCATGAACCATGGCACTAGCTTGTTTGATCTGATCAAAATTCCCCTCGAGTTCAATATTTCTAAGGTTAGGATCTTCATGATCTCTAATAGAAAGTTTAGCTCCTGTTATGCGACAGATTTGCTTGGAATTTACACCATTTTTTCCAATGACAGCTCCAGCAAGGGAAGCATTGATACTAATTTTTGCAGTGGCCGAGGCTCCAAAGCCGGCAGCAGCTACATGAGCTGGAGGTGGAGGCTCGAATCTCCCACCAGCCCTGTTGCTTTGCATTTGTCCCATGGCACGAGTATCTTCGTATGAAGGGGCCGCGGGCCTGCCAAGCTCCCACTCACCATGGGCAAAGTGACATTTATCACCAAATTTGCAACCTTCAGCACTATTGAACTTGGTGCACAATCGGGTCTTAACAGCTGGTGGAGAAGACCTGTCCGGGAAGGATGGCGGAACATTTGGATTTCTACCAATGGGTGGAATAGCAGGACTGCTACCAACATTGATCATCTGAGAGACAGCTTTAAATCCTCCAGGAACGTAATGCAAGAAATGACAACCCTCACCAAAAGGACATCCAGAGGTGCTGCATAATAGATGAAATCATATAATATCAGACTAACATACATGTAAACCATCTCATTAGGTTACAAATTTAGTAAATATTTGAATGGCCTCTGCATTTCACAAATCGTTGTAACAATTTGATGGAACCAGATGAGCAGATACATGCAGCGGTTGTAACAAAAACAATTATCAAACACAGGACACATAATACATCAATATGAAATTATCACCAAAAGAAACAGAAATGACAAAGAAATTGAAGAGGAATATGAAAATGATAATTGATGCAAATTAGCTATCTAAACTTAAAAACTGTTTGGTTCTGTGTTTCAAACCATAAATGTGTGTCACATTGCCAAAAAAACGAGGAAAAAAACAAGGTTTCGTTTTGTAGCATCGGGGAAACGTATGTTTAGTGGTGCTCGGCGGTGAGTTTCCAAACACATGCTAATAATAATATTCTGTATAAAGGTGTGGACTGCAGTGTGTAGCCCAAAATTCAAGTAACAAAAGAAATGGATTGTTGGGTCCTAACAATAGAAGGATGACTTGACCTACCCATTTCCTTGTTATTTCACATATGAATTAACATGGCCTCGCCTATTCTAATTCAAACCAAACAAATTGTTTAGCCCCAAAAATAAACAGCAGGAGACATTGTATCAAACACAGGAATCGGGACACAAAGGCAAGGAAGGAGAGCAAAACAGAGAGATTTAGTCAAACCAAGCCCAGAAACAAAGGCAAAAGGTTTAGTCATAATGTCACACAAGCATAAACGCAGAGTGATCAAAAACCAAAAAATAAAGTGGTACACTTTCAAAAGAAAATCAGAATACGTGGAGATAAAATTGATAAAGAACAATACAGAAAGTAGTCCTTTAACAGAAACGTAGAAATAGAATATGCATAGTAAAAGTTTGTGAAAATAGTAAACATATATTAGGCCCTCATCCACCAAGGGCAACTTCCTAGCAAGAAAGATTAAAGATATTACAAATAAATTATCAAGATAAGATTCAGCACCAAAATATGATGAGTATGCTTGTTACAGAAGTCCCAAGGGTTTATTTAAGTTTAAATCATCATTTTCGCAACCTAAAACCCTCAAATCATCTTTTAGTACACAAAACCTCAATGAAATAAACATAAACCAATATCAAATACACTGTCTTATACATAATTCCACTTAAAACCTATCAATCAAACCCCAAAATCTGAAAATTCCAAAGTTTCACCATCTTCAAAACCCAAAACTCAACTTAAACATTAGCAGACAATAGACCGTTTAAATCATTTCCTATCCCAAGTTTATCATATGCTCGCAATTCTTTGGGGGAGGATTTGCAGATTTAAAGTAAGGGAATTAATAAAAGGATTCAAATGTAACAATAAAAAAAACTGGCTGACTACTTTCAATAAAAAATTTATCAAATGATCAAACTTGCATAGTATAGTGCTATTAACGAAGAAAAGTAAGATACATAGTCGTAACTTTAAATTAAACAAATTGCCATAATTTTAACAAAGTTTGGTGGCAAACGCAAACTACAAAAGATTCCATGGAAAATGAGGGATATTTAGGGCTACGTAATACAATATACAATGACCTAGATGAGGAAAAAATTTACTAGATAGAATTCATAATAAGTAGGTGAGGAGTTTAATGACTTCAGAGTTAATGGAATATTTAAAGGTGCATCTACCAAGTAGTTATACTTGAAAAGAACAAAGTTAACAGACTATAATTTAGCATAATAGTTACTATATGTGGGATTATATTAACCACGGCTGTCTTCACCATTTTTTAATACAATTACAAAGACTAACCGGAATATTTCGAATCATTTCAAAGTTTCAGAAATTTTCTAGTTGGAACAGATGACATTAGTTTAAAAAGATGACAGACAGACGAACTATGGCAGCAAATAACAGTCCTTGAGAAAATATAATCAAGGAGGCAAAAATACTAACAATATAAACAACAGGCATATCAACAGTACACAAGAGAAAACGATACAGTCAACACACATTAAAATTATCCTCTCAAATCATGTACTATATATTATGAATACCATATAGTGTCAAGATTTCCAAACATAATCCAGAATGAAGTATATTAATGCTATGAATGGTTCCGAGCATCATCATATTTTTCTCGTTTGATCAAACATGTCTTAAGTCATGTACTACTCTAAACATTTAATTGACCTGCATCGTCTCTCTTTTAATAAAAAATGGAGAAAATTGTACACAGCCAATATATGTCGATCAAGTTTTGTATCCCCGTAGAACTGCTTTTGTTTAAATATATAGCTAATCGAGCATTAAACAGAGCTGATCCCAAGAATCAACAATTTCTGTTCATAATCTTGTTATCATGATTAGCAGTTAACCTGTACGAAAGCTTTAATTACCCAATTGATTAGTAAAATCACATGGATTGATTGTGTATGAATTTTATTCTGAAACATTAGGAAAAAATTTGTACATATATAAAAAATTGCATTCGATTTTTTTACATAAGTTAAAGATTTGAACCTGAAAAACTTTGTGCAAGGCTTGGATTTGCTTCCTAAACCAGATTGAAAGGACTCCATTTCTGTTACAGAACATTAATTAAGTTCCCTCAGTTAAATTTTTAAGTTTCACCTTAAATTACTAGCTCATTATGATTACGATTTAACAATATTGAGTGTTTTCATAGCAAGATTCGAAAATTAACACTAAATTAACGGCTAATACACAAGAAAACCTAGAATTAACGGTAATTATTCGACGCGTAGTAAAGGCAGCACGAATAGGGAGAGGAAGGAGAAGAAAAGACGTACCGGATCTTCCTCTTTTTCTGGCGCCATTGCCATTGAAGGAAGCTTCGGATCTTCCTCTTTTGCGATCCATTGATAAACCTTGCTGGATTTGAAGTCTAGGGTTTCGGATATGCACGAGAACGAAGAGAGATTACACGCGTGCGATAGTCGTTTGTGCCCTATCTTGTTTCGATTCGTTATTTACCAGTCTTTGTTTTTGGTTTACAAACACTTTATTGGAGTAATTTGTTAGGGAAGTTTCACTTTTTCACCCTCGTTGAATATTCGTTTTTTTTAATGGCGTTGAATATTAATTATTATTGTAATTCATATTTTCTTCTGAATTAAATCTAAAAATATGTAGAGATCTAATGAATTCGAGTTCTGATATGATGAAATGAGTTTTTGGTATGATATGGCGGAGTTAGACCTACAAAGTTATTATTTTAATGTCTAATTTAGTTAATGGATGAGAAAATAGTTTGAGTGGATAAATAAAAGAATAGTTGAAATAGTCTATGCAAGACTTTATATAGTGTAGGCAGTTAGAGTATCCTCATGTGATATGATATTTTATATGGTGGCGTTCAATTACATCTAATGGTAAACGATTCATTGAAGGCGAGGATCGGGTGCAGGTCTCATGGTTGTGAGGATCCTAAGTCTTCAATGTCTTGGCACACAAGTTCTTAGAATATGTCTTATCATGGTTAGGTTTTACGCCCTTCGGACTAGTGGTCGGTCTAGAACAGTTGTCCTTAAAGATTGTCATTGCGTAGAAATGAAAGGACTTTTCTATAAGAATGAGTCATTATCCCTCTCGATTGTGGTCTGATATGATGCAAGTATACGACAATATCGAAGTAGTAAAAAGAATTATCATCCTCAGAGACCAATGATCAATTATTGTTCTCTATCGTATCTATGGTTATTCAAGGCTATGGGGAAACTAGTTTATCTGCACGAAAAGGTGAAATATTTTATTTCTTAACATTAAAAATGAGAGTCCAAGACAATGATTCTTGTCCACCGAATTAACTCGTACAAGTTGCGATATCGATTATAACGAGAATTTTATCTTTTGTAGAAAATATCAAAATTAGTTGTAATGTCATCTTTCGTCGGTGCATTATAGGACTCTAAACTCGCAATCCATTTACTTTGGCAGCGTGAATTGTAAATTTAAAGATCCTTTATAAAATAAAAGTAATTTCTCTATTAATTTAGAAATGCTTTCATGATAAGTGGTAAACGTTTTCCTTTTAATTTCATGTGTGCTTTAATCATCCTAGTTCGATTTTATGCGTTTTTGTCTCATTTTTATGATTTCAAGCAATAAGAAGTTACACGCGTGCGAGACTCGTTTATACCTTATCTTATTTCGATTTGTTCTTTACCGGTCTTTATTTTTTAGGTTAGAAACACTTTATTGGAGTAATTAGTTAGGGAATTTTCACTTTTCACCACTGTTGAATATTAACTATTATTTTGAGTCACGTTGAATATTAAGTTATTGTAATTGACCCTTTTATATTATTTGTTGTTAAATTTAAAAATCTAATAGAAAAGTGTTATAAGTCCTCAAATATAAGTGAAAAGACAAAGTTAATAAACCTAATTTTTTATTAAATAAACATTAGTGTTATTTAACATAGCATATTTGGATATATTCAAATAGAGTCCAATATCCAAGTAGATTCATCTGTAAATGAGAAGTATTTAGGTTTCAAAATGCATTATAAAAAAATAATTAGAAATAACTTTTTGAAGATGTATGATAAAGTTGGATTGAAGTAGAAATAATGTTGTTATCAATATTGTTATGTACAGGAACTAGAAATATGTGGAGATCTAATAGATTTGAATTATGATACTATGAAGTAGGGGTTTTTCAGTGTGGCTTGGACGGTTTTGAAGTAAAAAATTATTCAAACAGCTAGAGAGAAAAACATACGGTTCGGTTTGGTTCGATTGACTTTTAAAAATAAATTCGAACAAAATCAAATCAAACTAACGCGGTTTGAATTGGTTCGGTTGATTCAGTTTTTTACAAAAAAAATATTAAGCCATACATACATATATAGAGGAAAATATAATTTTGTGTTTAATTATTTATATTACTGTGATGCGGTGGGAGAACTGACTATGTGTTTTGCGTTTGTATTCGCACTTGTTCGGTTGAGCAAGAGTCGCCACCGACTTTTTATTTTATCCTAAAGGAACGGTTAAAAAAGCACAGCAAAAACCTTTTGAGATATTTCGTGGGTTCGGGGGGTAGATTATGAAAAGGGAAGGTATTAGCATCCTTTTCATCCATGGTTATCCATGGGCTCTTAGTTACTTAGTTTTTTAGATCACTTGCCTTGATTTTCGATTGCTTGAAAATGGTGTGTGTGTGTGTGTGTGTGTGTGTGTGTGTGTGTGTTTTTGAAAATGTTTTAGAAGAAGATGCCTTGTCTTAGGCTACCCTTGTAACAATTCTTTACTCGAATGTTTTACAAAGGTGTGTATCTTTTCGAAAAGATGTTTCAAATGTTTTTGAGAGTTTGTTTTGAAAGTGTTTGTGGAATGTGGTTTTTGAAAAGAAGGCAAGTGTTTTTGCAAGTTGATCTCAAGTAACTAAGATTTTTGTCTACCCTATTGTACTCAAAGGTTTTCTCTATGTTTTCAACCCCTTTTTAACAATTTTGTTCCACCATTGAATTTGGTGGACAATCTTGTGTTTAGGATGTTTAACGGGACGGGCGCGGGTCATCGTATGGACCATGAATGCAATGGTGCCAAGTGTCTTTGGCAATTTGCTTTGAAGGGACTATGATCATTCTATTTAGGCAACTTTCGAAAGCGTCATCGAGGGACTTATGATCATTTGAATTTGTTTTGCCAAAGAAACTCGACGTGCAAGCATGGCCCATTTTGGAAGGCAACATGTGGGATTACCCTAGAGGGTGCAATTGTGATTGTGTATTGATTTCATGTATTTGTCTTGTATTAGGTTATCTAGCGTTTGATTTTATGTACATGCAAACCCTAGGTCTAACCATGATATAATTCGAAAGCGGTAAATTGCAAGAATTTAAAGTCTATGCTATTACAAATAGTATCCGGGAGTGGGGGTACAAATTCACAAATGGGGATGAGACTTTAGGAATGTAGTGTCCAATAAATTACAACCAAATCGAATTTGCGATCGAATGTAAATATAACGAATAAGCAAACATATAATATATCAAATGTAAGTATATTGTGTAAGTGTACGTGTATATGTGTATGTAATTATTTACAAGTTGAGATGTGATTTTAAATGTATTATTAAGGTATGGTTAACTTAAAGAAAAGAATTAGATATTTATTAATCTTTGATTTGTGATCTTGTATTTTCTTTGATATGTACAAAAAGAAAATTTAAGAAAAGAAAATATTCTAAGTTTGAAAATTGTCACTTTATATTTGATATAGAAATGTATCTTTATATTTTATGTTTAATATATACAAAAGAGTATTTTAATTAAATGTTAAGAATTCTAATTAAATTATGTATATAAAAAAATGTATTTTTAAGTATTTTATGTATTAAAGTAATAATGTACAAAGAAAGGTATTTTACTTAAAAGAAAAAAAGGTTTTACATTTTAATTGTATTGTGTATTTGTATTAATGTACAAATTAAAATTATTCTAATTAGGAAAAAAAAGAAATGTTTAGGGTATTCTTTAAATAGGGTATTATTTATAATTATATTATATACAAAAATCAAAATTATATTATATACCAATAATTATTGTTAATTAATAAAAAAAGAACTAATATTGAAAAGTGTGGTTACTTAATGTAAAATATATTGATTAAAAACAATAAAAGGAAGAATTAAAAGAAAAGGGGGTGCTAATCAGAAGTTCGTTTGGGCTTTAGGTGCTTCAGAAACGTGTTAGGCTCAAGGCAAAATGATAAGCGTTTTTAGGGTTTGCAACTTTTTGTTTCATTTGGGAATTGTTTTAGGGTTTGAGGGAGCAGCGCCGCTTGGGGCTTCGTTCGTCTTTCGTTCATCTCTCATTCCTTTGGCCATGGCTGTTTGAGCATCACCCCTTCGCCTAAGCCATCAGCGCCTCCTTCACCTTCCTTCCTTCCTTGGTTCAGTGAAGCCAAATGAAAGGTAATCGCCCTTGCTTCGTCTTTTGTCTAGCGCGTTTAGGGTTTGAATCCTTTTTACATGTTATGATTTACTGCCTTTTTTTGATTAAGTGTTTGATTTGTGTATTTGAGGTATGAAAGGGAAGGGGAAAAGGAGAACTACCTTGACTGAAGAGGGGAAGGAATGGTGGAGGTGCTTAGGAGGCTCGACGGTGAAGGGGTATGCGCGATGAAGCTAGCTTTGCCTTTTGGTAACCCTGGTACTCTTTGTCTCTCTTTTTGTTGCCCTTTTATTTGGTGATGATGATGATGAACTGAGCCTTTTTGTAAATTCACTTCTTTCTTCTTCTCTTCTACTGTATGCTCGTTGCTTAATATGCTTCTTTGTCCGATGATGAACCTAGGGTTCTGAGGGTTTTGATGGGTGGCCTTGAATGCTTGAGTATGCTTGACTGTTGTATGATGCCTTTGTATGCTTTGCTTCTTTATCTTCTTCAACTGCTTCGTTGCCTCGACACCTCTGTATGCTTGCCCCCTTTTTTTACTGCCCTGTGATGACTATACTGAGGGCCCTGTGTTTGACACTGAGTTGCCTTATTGAGTTGATGATGGTTGATACCTTGCTTCTGACTTTGCCTATTTTGTAATTTGGCCTATGATGAAGACTTTTCTGAGGCCTTTTGTGGGTTTGGAGATTGGTATGCTTGTTTATGTTTGAGTTGTTGGCTTCTTTGCTTGAGTTGGTTAAGGCTTTAGGTTTATGCTGCTTCTGGTCAGGCTTTAGGTAGGGTGATACAGGGTTGGTGATCTTGTTTGTTTTTCTGGTACAAGGTTTTTGTTTATCAGTTTTTGCTTTTTAGGCCATTACAGGTTGGGTTGGTTTTGACAGAGTTCAGGTTTTTGACAGCTCAGGCAGGTGAGGCTTGGGTTTGACACTGGTTTTTTGGCTTATGTTTTGAT